CAGCTGTGTGTTGGTTTGTGTGTGTGTGTGTGTGTGTGTGTGTGTCTCCAGAGTACAGTGATTTGTGCTCTCAGCAGCCTGGGTGTCATCCAGACAATAAGTTTGGCAGACACAGTGAGAGAACCCCCAAGTCTCTGCCAGACGAACACACACGCACACGCATACACCCTCATTTCTGTTCATATTCAGTTTTGATAAACATATGCTCTTTACGTGTTTTCTCTTTATTTTTTCTTTGAAGAGCCGTAAATGTGTGTGCGGGTGCATGCGTGATAGGCATAAACACGTGTGTTAATATGTGAACTCTGATGTTGTTGTCTCCCCCCACTTTCGGGGAATTCCTCATAAGTAAATGGTTGTTTTATTCTTTCTACTGTAAAAATATAAACAAAACCGTCTTTTAATCCCTTATTGTGTCAGATATCCCCACTGATCCTTCTCCAGCCTGTGTTTTGGCTTGTGTACAGACGTCTGGTTTGTATAGCAGCTCCCTGCTTGTCTCTGTGTGGGACCTGGCGGAGCCTTTTTGCAATCCAGGCCCCCAAAAACTCCAGCTCTCCAGGACTAATGGCCTCATTCTTCTGGCACAGTCAACAGAGACCTCCTGTCATGCTTTTAATGTCACATATTTAACTTGTTTTATTTTAATGTATTTTTGCTTTGTCAGACAGAAAGAGAGAGATAGGGAGGGACTGGTTTTAGGGTTCAAGCCTAAAGAATCTGTTGACTGATTTCAGATTTAAAGAATGTATTCCCCTGCATTAGTTTTACTGTTTTTCTCTTTCACCTGCACAAGTAAGACAATTGATTCTCTTCTTCCCAATTTGGACAATCTGATTGCCAACCAGGCCCTCATTCCCCTTATTTTTCTCTGGCTGACTTTCTCTGCAGCTGTAGCTGACGTAGAGAATGATGGTAATTGTGAAAGTGTGGTCAGGGCCCAACAAGGACAGAGCTGTCTGCCAGAGTATCTTTCTATCTGTCTGCACCTCTGTCCCAAAATGACAGCACGACTGATTGATGCACAGCTGATGAACAAACTCGGCTACAGAATAAGTTTGACTCTATTTTAAAGAGAAAATGACTGTGGTTTGTGTGTGTGGAGGCAAACAGGCGCTTAGATTAAATAATTCATGTGAGGATTTCAGAAAGAAGCAGAGAAGTGGGTCAGAACTGCAGTTAGTTCATTGGACATTTGTAAAGATCGGAGAGTGGGAGAGGGGAAAAGTGAGAGAATGAATTAAAGAAAGAAAAGATAGATGATGAAAAAATGGAAAAAAACTTATTTTTAAACAATTGATAGAATTCTTTTATAGTTGCTGAATATAAAAACTACACATTGTTCTTTTTTGTGTTTGTATGCATTTACTAATAAGTATGTGTTTGTGTTTCTCAGAGTAGAAAAAAGCCCAGTATTCCCTCTTTTGTAGCTATTGTTGTAGGGCAGAAGTTAATACCCACAGAGCCAGTAGTCCCTTTCTCTTGGTTCTGTTTAATATGTGCATGGTGTAGCAGAGGTCTCTGTTTTCTCTGTGTGATCTCAGTACCAACAATACAATTGTGCATCAACCTGTGTGTGTGTGTGTGTACTATGAGAGGGCTAGTATAGACCTGTCCTTTCTCCCTGGAGGTATGTTTGGGGTTCCTATTTGGGCCTTCTTTACAAAGACCCACTTCCTCTGGGAGGCCCCCTTGGCCCCTTACTGTGTACCCATTGACACACACATATGCACAGCAAAACAAAATGGATGTATTAACGTGGGCAAAGTACACAACCCTTTTTCTGTGCACATGCTCAAACATACTTTTAGTTGCTGGATTGGAGGTTGTGACAGAAGTGGCCTCCGGTGATTTAGTGCTTCCTGGTGACGGTCAAGTTGAAGAAAAGACTTTTTTAGATGGAGGTTAAAGAAGGAAGGGAGGGGAGAAGAGGCAAGGAAAGAAGGAGAGAATTAAAGGATGGGAAGGAGAGAGGGGAAAAGGTTGTTGCAGATAACTGCAGGGAAGCTCAGGGAGCACAATCAACCAGTCTTCCTCCTCTACTCTCTTCTTGTTCTGCTTTTGGGTCCATTCACAGAGCTACAGAGAGCAATAAAACCTCTGAAAAGAAATAGGAAGTGGAGGAAGCAAAGGATAAAGGGGACGGATCAGATTCCACTGCAAATTGCATTATGGGGCCCTTTGTTAAAACCTCACATTAAGCTAAGAGGTAATCTTCCCTATATGCTCTGTCATCTGTAATTTTCAGTCTGATGAAATTTGTCTCAATTTATTGTTTTAGCAATAAGAAACCTGTAGTCGGAATTACTAAGTTATGAGAGTTAACAACCGTTTTATTTGTTTATATCCTTGCAAGATTTTTCAAAAATAAACCTAGATTTTTTAATGTCCAAAGACATTCCTGATTCCTGATTTCAGCTGTAAGCTTTGGCTTGTTGACGTTAAACTGAAACCTGATACCTCAGACTCACACATTCTCAGCTAACTCACTAACTAAAAAATCCCCCCTAATACTTAGCTGCCATTAAATCACAGCAGGGCTTGAAAAGACACAACAGAATGTGTAGTGTTCACTAATGGATCATCGTTTTCTGTAATATGTGTCAGTGAGGCATGTGCGGGCATTCACGAGTGGGTGTATGCACGTGCGTGTGAGTGCAGGTTGCTCAGTGTTATAAACACCAGTGGAGTTTGTTTACATGCTCAATATCACTTTGGGAAGCTGTTGTTTACCAAGATACACACACAGATATCAAGAGTGTGTACAGCAAGGAGGAAGGAGCGTGTGTGGACATATGTGTATGTACGATTATTATCCTATAATAGTCTATTTCTAACTGTGTGTCCAGATTTCAAGTGCCGCTTGCCAGGAAGTGTAATTTCCTGCTCAGGAGACTGATTCAGCAGCATCCAGCTGTTGTGTTTGTGTGGAGAGAAAGGGAGACAGAAAGATGAGGTGGCCACCTGTTTTTTCTATTCAACTTCTTAATAGTTGTTTCTCCAGGTGCCACAAACCCCCAGCCCCACCTTGCCAACCCCCTCTCCCCTACCCACAAGCCCACCAATCATCCCCCTCCCTCTGCCCATTGCTCTTTTTCACGCTTTTAAGTAGGAAACTCCGGCTCCACAATTCCCTCGAGAACCCACTACAGATTATATGTCAGCGTTCTCAGTCTAAGTTGTAATAACCTTTCAATGTTGTTCTGCCTTCCTGTGGTCATTCTGAAAATCCTGCATCCCCACAGGTATGAACTATCAGCTGAGTGCCTTGGCAGTGTTTTTGTGAGTGCTCAGTTTTTTTTCTTACTTTTCAGTTTTGTAGTTTCAAATTTGCACCGTAAATATGTCTTACATTTTGTGAAATTCATGTATCTTGACAGTTTCAGTAAATATACAGTATATGTGTATAGTTGGGATTAAGCTTGAAGTTGGATTGTGTGTGGGGTTGTGGCTATAGTAGTGCTGTCTTACCGCATTATTACAGTTAATGTATACATATGTATTTATTGGCTTGCACATGTATGAGGGCACAGCTGTGAGGAATGTGTTGCCCTTGTGGAGGGGGAGGAAAACAGAGAATAAATTGGCGCCATTAAAGACTGAAACTGAGACACAAAGGCATCTCAAAGTAATTGATAGAGGGGGGAGAGATGTAAAGAATGAAACATAAAAGAGAGGGCAAGAGCAATACAAAAAAAGAATGAAAAAATATGGGTCCTTACATGTTGAATCTTTTCGGTCCTTTAGCTTCGCTTGCAGGTTTACTGCACAATGTGTTTACCTTCTGCTCAGGCTATGTTAGTTCCTGGTATGTGGCATGTTACTGGTATTTACATATTGCTTGACTTCTTTTGCCATATAGAGCCGCCTCTCCTATATGACCCCCCTCAATAGAGGTTTATATGCAAACTAAGAAGTTTTCATTTTGAAAAAGTTTGAAATCCTAAGCCGAAATGATCAAAATTGAAATCCTAGTGCCTAAAAAATAAAGCACTCTTTACTATCTGTTAGCTTCCAGCTGTAAAAATTTAACTTTTAGGTGGATCTGTAGATCCAAAAGTCAGATTGTGCACACCCATGTGAGGAGTATTTGTTTTGATTAGGCTCATAATTAATGGAGCTTGAAAGGCTGTCCTAGTCCTGTTTGCACTTGTCTGCTTCAGTCTTTTTGTTTCTTCTGAAGCACTGGTAGTTGGTCAGAAGAAGAATAAAACACAGTAGAACAGAAAAACACATCAACACTTCATATTTAACATAATATAGGATTCCTACTGGAGTGCAGGGAACGTGAAAGCAACATGTGTTTTCTCCTTCCGACACACCCGCCTCTCTTTTACGGAGTCGTGATTTCTCTTTCTCAGCGGGCTTAAAGAAAACTCTTTGTAGCTCTGCTGTGACGAGAGAGGGAGTCTGATCTCTTTTTTTCTACTTTGCCTATTTAACCTTCCTGACTTCTGGTATTCCCTTTCACCCTTCCTTTTGATCTGTATATGTAAATGTGTGTTTTTGAGGTTTATGTGGCAGGAAGTTAAGTGCGGTTTTGATGTTTTTTTTATGATAAAGAGACTAAGCCCTCATATCAGCTGTCATCTGGATGATAGCTGGAGGGAAAGTGTCTTACTCATACACAAAACCATATGTGTACACACACGTGCACTTACATTCACAATGATCCACTTTTTGAGAACCGGCTTAATGATTTACTTTCTCTTTCTCTGTTTTCCTTTCCCTCTTTCTCACCCTCTATCTTGTCTCCCTACCCCCCCTCTCTGCTGACTCGCAGGTGGTGTCCTCCTGTCAGAAACACACACTTCCTCTGACACATGGCTGACAGCGGGAGACGGAAGGGGCGAGAGAGAGAACGGGACTGACACACACGCACAGAAAGAAAAAAGGCAGTCGGCCATCTGTGGACGGTCCCCTGCTATTCTGCAGCTGTGTTGGAGTCAGCAAACAGTTCTCAGCTCCACTAGAACTTTAGAAACCACAGAACGAGATAAGGGGGTTCTTCCAACATCTCATTGCCTAGGGGATGAGTCTAGGCTGGGGCGATGTTAAGGCCTCGCTGGCCTCGAATTAGGCCCCTGGGGCTACTCCTTTGGAGGGATGGATGATATCCCAGCTGGATCTTCTGCTGTCGCCATCCTCCACGGCTGTCATTAGTGGCTAATGAGCTGCTGCTAGAGAGGAAACGGGGAAGGTGCCTGTGGAGAGAGGAGGAACCTTACAGCTGTTATTAAGAGGCCCAGAGATCTCCGACAAGGAATTCTTTGCCTCTGCAAGAGAGTGTAACCCTTTAAAGCTCTTTTGTGTGCAAGCATTAAAGGATATCTTTGGAAGTCGTTGTTGTACACAATTTTTTCAGACTGGCAGTTTTTTTTTCTACAGCATTAGAGGTCTTTGAAAATTGTCACCATGGAGTTGAAACATCTTTTTTCAGCGAGATGATTTAGTGTTTGGATTTAAACTGTTTTTCTGTCTTATCTGAACATTATATTATAAAACACTATAATCCATTAGGATTTTTGTCAAGGCTTTATTGTTTTTGTTTTATACTTTGATATTATTTTGAGCTTCCTATGCCCTGAAGGACACTGGACACCATGGCAGCAGCCTATCGTGTAGTGGTGAGCAGCGTGAGCTGCTACAACAGTGTGGTAGTGGACCGGCGCACTCACTCTCACGCTGTGCACTACTGCTCAGGGCCATGTGGGGCACTGTCCCAGGGACTGGACTGTACCGTGGCACACCGTGGCACGTGCTCGGAGCTGATGGTTGCCCCTGACCCTGTATACACTGACCCAAACAACTTACTCATACACTCCCATAACATGATCACTCAGCAACTTCCTAACCATGGTAAAATTTGTGTTACCATGGATACTAATTATAATGGTGGTCTAGAGAGGGCAGGTAGTAGTGGAAATCTGTCTTTGGGGGAGGACAGCCCCTCATGGCGTGGTAAAAAGACCCCCAATGTCGGAGGATCGACTGGGAACCTGAGCACCTCTGGCAGTCTGAAGGATATTACAGAAGAGGCCATCAATCTGGCCAGTGGTAAGCTCAAAGAGTTTTCTTTTGACAAGCTGCGCCTCTCCTCCTCAAGCCACGTCACGTTCCGGAAAGGTCGCAAGGTCCGTCCTGACTCTTTCAGCCGTCGCTCCACTGACCTGGAGATCATCTACGGCCACTTCAGTTCCCAGGTCACCACAAACGGAATGACTAACGGCATGACAAATGGCATGGCTACTTCTAATGATGAGAACCTGCCTCCATTTGTGCCAGGGAAAGGAGCAGGCCAGGAGGAGACAAAGCTAAAGAGCAGCACAGGCACCTTGTCAGCCATCACCAAAATGGGCGGTGGATCAACAAGCAGCCTGTCAAGTATTGGGTCTTTGGACCAAAGTCTGAACACAGTGGCCTCCCTGTACCTCAACGCCTTGGGAGAGGAGAACCTAATTGCCCGTCTGCTGGAGAAGACACGAGCGGAGGCGGGTTCTGGGGGAGCAGGTGGGGAGGACATCCGCGCCTGCCTTGACATCCTACTTAAATGTTCTGAAGACCTAAAGAAATGCACTGACATCATCAAGCAGTGCATCAGACGCAAAGCTGGTGGAGGGCCAGAGGATGAAGGAGCCAGTCCTGATAGTGTGTATCGGGCCGTGATGACCCGACTCAGCTCCTATTTGAAGAAACTACCTCTGGAGCTGGAGGGAATTGGAAGTTTGGGAGGCAGTGGACAGCTGTGTCAGGGTGCACCGGGAAGTGGGCACAGTGATCTAGCTGAGCTGGTCAACACTCTTCACTCCATCCAGCAGGGACCATACTCTCCAATATTTGGAAATGAGCAACCTCCTCGCTATGAGGATGTGGTGCACTCACCTCCCATCCAAAAAACTGTTCCTCATTCTGCATCTTCTACTTCCTCCTCTGTTTTATCTTCCTCCTCATCTTCTTTGAAATCAGACTCCATCCATACCAAACCAGTCCAAAGCTCCCCGTCCAGAGTCTCTCCACTTACCAATGGACTAAAACATTCACATGCGTCTTCTACCACACAGCATACACTCTCTCCCCCATCTGTCACATGTTCTCAATCCAGCTCCTCCCCAACACACTCTCCTTCCCCTCTTCGTACCTCCCCGACCCCACCATACACACACACACCTCCAACATCCCCTATGGAGGCTCTTTATATTGAGGAAGAGGAAGCAGATGTGAGCAAGACACCAGAACAAATCTCACAACAGACACACACTCCAACCAGAGGGGTGAACACCACCCAGGACAAAAGCAGCACAGCATTGGGTCAACACATGCACCTGTCCCATCCACACACACTCCATTACTCTTCAAATACTTTTCCGACCAGCACTGGCTACAGCCCGACTTGGCCCTCCTCTGCGCCACTAACTGTCTCGGCACCCAAAGCTGTCACACACAGGAACGATGACATTGACAAGCTGCTGATGGACTTAGAGAATCTGTCTCAGAGTATGAGCCACCCAAGAAACAATGAGCCGCCACTTCCAGCCAAAACCAGGAAGAGAGAAGGAGGCCAAGGAATTGCTTCCAGTGAGGGCCTCACTCAGCCCAAAATGGCCCAGTTCCAAATCCAGAAGCCAGACAGCCACCTAGCCATGAATGGCCCTAGCTCCAGGACTCCCCAGAGTGTCACTCCTCCCCAGGGAGAGAACAGTGAAGCTGTGGTGGGAGAGGAAGAGGATGGGGCACTGCTTCTGAGGATCCTGGAGAGCATTGAGAGTTTTGCCCAGGAGCTGGTGGATTCTGGGGCAGGGAGCACAGGGAGTGCTGAAAGAAACAGTGGGAAGGAGCGGGAGGTGATGAGGCTCTTGCAGGATACACTGGCCACCACTGGCAGGGCTGACACCCCTCTGGAGTGCCCAAACCCACCAGTTGCACCCACTGTTCCTCCCATACGCACAAATGCAGTCCCAGCTATACCACCAAAACAATCCCTGGCCAACACACATGCAGTTTCACCTGCATTGACACCTATAAATGCAGTTTCAGAAGCTGTGTGCAATGCTACATCCGAACCTGCACCTAAACTTACACTTGATGAGGCCCCCAAACCCCTCCCTACACCCATACTTGAGCCTACAAGTGAGGCAACAGATGAAGTTACAGAAGTCTCTACAGGTGAGACTGATTCAAAATCCATCCCTGCCTCTATAACATCTGCACCTGTGAGCTTGCATTCCTCCACCTCCACACATTCAGCTGAACCTACACCTGTGGCTGCACCTGAAGCTACAGCCCCTGTTGCCATCCCAATTGTGGTAGCCACAAGAGATGCTGCCGTTGCTGTTGGTGACCCTGCTGTTGCGAGGGAAACTGGTTCAACACTCCTCATCCAGCAGACTCCAGAGGTGATCAGAGTAAGTGAGAGACACACCTTAAAATTAAAACTACTGACAACTGCACAAGCTAATGGACAGCCTTCATTAAATACTACAATTCCACACTATTACAGCTGCATGATTACCCATGTATCACCACAACATGAGAGATTTTATTTTGCACAACCAGTTATTGTTTATATCTTGTCAAAAAATAAAGGGATAGGAATTTTAAGGACTTAAATCATGTAATGAACTCCAAGACCTAAATAATTATTATTTTTGTCTGGTGAAAAAACTCATAACTGAGTCTAACTTTCTCTGGCTGAAACAGTAGCTCCCTGCTTTGTAGAAGAAAATGTCACTTCTGGTATTTGGAGTAGAGGTGGAACATTGTCTTTATTTTAATCCCATTTTTGTGATTTTGGAGGATATTTTCATTCTGTAAAATGTTGCAAAATATGTATTTGATGATACTGTTGCCATGGGATAAGAAGCAAATAGACAGTCAGTCTGAGAGTGACTGACTGACAGACATACAGGAACCAAAAAAGAGGATGATTGACAGCATTAGAATAAGAATAGACAATTTGAATGAAACCCTCGATTGCTTTCAGTACATGTCATATAAAACACCCAGGCGAGGATTTTATCGTTGTGACACAACGGGGTTGATACCAATGTAATTGATGGGCCGTGATGAATAGTATTCATTAACTGCGATGAACACGCTGATACAGTTTCCCTATCTGGGCACAAATAAAAAGCTTGGCGTTTTGAATCATGGAACAGAACAGCTCATTGTGTTAGGAGTGGCTCTTTGTTGACTTTTCCTGGTTTCTAACTTGTTTTGAACCGTGAATGTGTATATGTGAGTGTGTTTGTAGATGTGTGTGTATTGGCCCTCCTTTCCACCCTGGGGAATATTTAAAGGTAATTTAGGGTTTTGCTACAGAGGGAGGGAGAGGCTAAGGCAATTGGAGCGTTTGTTTCTGTGTGTGTGTGTGTGTGTGTGTGTGTGCATAAGCTACACTACAGTGAATAAACTTAGAAAGGGGATGGGGGAGGGTTACCTCAGCTTGTCTCTGATGTGGGTGTTAAATAGCACATTGTAGATTTAGGTAATTATGTATGACAGACAAACACACATTAACACCTACACAGAGTATCAAGTCATTACTGTTGTCAGTTTTTCCTTTCTCCCTGCTTTACTCCCTTTGATTTTTTTTCTCCCTTATTAATGTACTTATTTTGTTGCTCTCCCATCATCTCTTATTCTCCTCACCATTCTCCCACTGCTGTTTGTGTGTGTGTCTATGTGTGTGTTTATTTACTGAGCTGTGTAACCTTATGCCCTGATGATATGTAGGGCACCTATTTATGAGGTTACCATGGTAGCTGCCACAGTCAGAACAGAACAGCCAGCACCAGAACACATCATTACGCGATCTCATTCCTCCTCCGTCTTCTGTCTGCCTATCTATCTCTCTTTCCTCTCTGTTTTAGTTTTTCTGCTCCCCTGCCTCCATATTTCTTGTAATCTCTTGCCATTCTTGCATCTGCCATTCTTTCTCTCTACTTTTTCCTTTCTTTTCTGCATCTGTGTCACTTTTTTGTTTTTCTTCTTTGTGTCCTTCTTTCACCTGCAGTTAAGTCAAGAGTCAGTCTATGTTGACCACTGCTTTCTCTTCCTGCCCTGTGATTGGCCGCTGTGTTATTTTGGGAGCGGTGAATAACAGTTGTTGCTGTGTGGAGGGCAGAGCAACCCAATGAGAGGTGCTGATTGGAGCACAGCAGGAGGGGGGGAAGGGCGGGGCGAGGTGGGGTAGGGTGTGGGGGGCATCTGTTGGCACACTGAGTGTTAACGGTATCGTTACCCTCCAACCCCCTCCACCCCTGGCAGAGCTAGGTGTGAGGGAGACCTAAATCTGTCTACCCCTCTGTACTATGGCATCCCGCTAACAGACTGACTGTCGCCACAGTGTAAATGGACCTGCATATGTGTGTGTGAGGGTGTGTGATGGCGTTCATGTTGGTGTGCACGCTGTGCATGCATCCAGGCTTTCTTAAATGTTCAGATGTTCACATATGTGTGTGCATTTACATATGTGCCCATACATGTATATATGCATACAGGTGTATTCATGTGAATCCTGTGTGGTGAATGTGTCTTTGACCGAGCATGATTGTGTGTGTCTGTTTGTTGGCCCGAGGGTAAGTTGACCCAGTGCTACTGTGGGTCACAGCTGAGTTTCGGAATAGCTCTCTGACACCCAATAGCAACTCTGGCACTCTGGGAATTATGCTAATATTCCTAAGTGCCAACCACGCCTCCTGCCTCAGTTGCACATTAAACTGCCAGTCAAACTATAAACAAGGCAAGCCCCCTCACACATAAGTGACAAAATGCCCTTGCACTCTCGTACACAACTACTTACACACTCCATCTTGGAGATTTGTAGCTGTGGTTCCCTTGGCACTGTCATGGCTTCGATGGGAAGCTCTGCTAAGCCCGCTGGGATGACACTGGCCTAAGGCAGTAGCATCCTCATCTGTGTGTGTGTGTGTGCGTGCACACATGTGTTTATTGTTGATTCTGCTGCTGACAGACTAATACAGGGCTTTCTGCACCTGTCAGAGCAGATCCATTAATCTCTATGGAGACAAGGAAGCCAGCTAATATAAATCAGAAGCAAGGCCATAACAGTCAAACTTAGAGTAGGGAGACGTGGCAGTAGTGATGCTGCGAGTAGCATCTGTTAGTGGTACTTCAGATCAGTGGCCTTCCACTGGCAGTTGGTCTGCATTTCTTCTCCATTCTCTCTGTTTTTGGGAAATATAAGAAGAGATATTTGAGAGCTCATCTGACCTGTATGTGCTTGTTTGAGTTGGGATGTTTCAGTACAGCCAATGGTGTCATGATTTACAGATGCACGTACACTCCTGGCTGTATCCAGAGCTGCCATTCTGATGGCTTAATTAACCCACTGCTGATTTGAGTGTTTTTGCCAACTGCTGTGGGCATGTTGCTAGGCTAGAATAGTGCTGGTCAGTTACAGCTTGAGTTAGGGTGTGCTGAAGGGTTTGTTCCAGGAAACTGTTGAGGAGGTGATTCACTTCACATTTCATCCATACCTGGATCTGGACCATAACTGGAACATACTCTGCATTTTTTGGATTGTAACTGTTAACATGTATCACTGTCACTGACATGTGGAACTGATTTCACTGATGAATTCACTTTTGTAGAAACAATTCAACAACACTGTGTGAGTAAATTGACTTTTTTCACAGAAAACTAAGCAACACACTATCTCCTAGTAAGACTGCAAGACATTAAGTAATAGTGTTGAGCCACATCAAAGTTGCATGTGTGATTACACACACCCCAAAACCAACCAATCCAGAAAAGAGGTTAAATGATAAATCTGTACCTGTAGCCGTATTCTGGCCCGTGGAATGAAAGTGGAATTAGCTTGTGGATATTTCTGCTTCATAGTTATACAGTTTGACACGGCCGTCTTGCATGAGTCAGTGTTCCTCTTTCTGATCGTCCCTGCTCATATTTTTTGCCAGCCGAGGAAAGAAACTGTTGACCTTTTTAGACCTGCTACTTTTTGGCACAGAGAGCCTTGCAAAAAGAATAGACGAAGTGATAAAGAAATCCGTGGAGATAGAAAGGAAATAACAGGAAGACAGGAAAGCCAAATGAATGAATGTCTGTGTGAGACAGTAGGGGGTGGGAAGTTTTTAGTTATCTGAGAAGTTGACTTAGAGAACAGAGGAATTCATAGGCAGTTGGAGAAGAAGAGGAGCGGGCATAGAAAAAGAACGGAGATGAGAAAGAGACTCATGGTGCTGGGGGAGGGGGATGCTAGTAAGAAGGGGGCCTGCAGTGTACAGTTGTTGACTCTGGGTTGGTGGAGGATGACATCATTCCTCGGCTGCTTCCACAGGAAATAAGGTCACAGCGGGAACCTCGGCCAAGGAGGGAAAGACGCCTGTTTCAACCTAGGTGCACAAGCACACAGATGAATGCATTCATTTATACATGCGCACACACACACACACACACACACACACATACACACAATGCACTCCCAGGCAGGGGCCTGTGTTGCTATGTGTGAGAGGACTTTTCCAATACAGTTCATACCATCCAAGGTTAGCCTGGACAATGGAATATTCACCACCAAGCCCTTTGATACGCACACACACACAAGCCACACACA